CATATCTAGTAAATGCTAGGGCATTCTTGAAGGAACAGGTTATTTCTAGAAAACGTGGCGTGATACTAGTCACGTGACCTCGCTGACGCAAAAATATAATTAATAATTATTGTAATATTATTATTTATGATAAAAGAAATTATTTTACATTTTAAGTTTTTGGACTTCCCTTGCCAAACAAAAATGTACCAAATAATGCCATTTACAGCTATTCAGGGATTGTAGAATTTGTAATAATGAACAGTTCCTAATTTCCAACATTAATATTTAATTGAATAAATTAATTTTTAATGGATTTAAAAGATAAATCTTATTAAATATTTTAAATTATTTTGTAATAAGTATACAAAATATGTATGTAAATTTAAAAGTAGTAGTATAAACGAAATCATAATAAACACAATAAGTAATAATTTATAATTTTTGTAGGGAAATTATTGGAATTACTTATTTGGACTGTATCTTGTATAGGTGTATTAATGTAGATGTATCACTTTCCTTATATAAGACCTGCTACTATGTAATTCTTATAGAACCTTCAAAGATCTTGACAGTAGCAAGGATGGGTGGAGGATGGGAGCTATACTAACAATTTAGGTTGGGCTTGTATAGTAATACTTTAATATCATGGTATTTATGTCCAACCATCATTACGGGGGCTGGAATGCCAACTTCAAGGACTATTTTACAGTCTTCCTCCATTGATGTGTATATATTCCAATTATTTATTTATTTTTGCTAAAAAAAAAAGGAGTAGATGTGCGTGCTCTAGCCCACAATGTCCCACATCTTTATCACCTTTCGCTGTCAGATGTGGGAAGGTGGCTGCTCACAAAAAAATAAAAAATAAAAAAATCAGTAAGGAGAAAGAAATAATTGGAATACAATACATCAATGGGGGGAGACAATAAAACTGCCCTTGAAGTTGGCATTCCGACCCCCATAATGATGTGGAGAAGTAATGTCGGCTGTAATTTTGGATTTACTATATGTGTCTTCACTCTGTAAAATAGCCATATAATGTGCACTATGATCCCCATCCATGTTCATATGGTTATTGAGTTTTGATGTTATAATATGCCACACTGAGAAGAGCATTGAAGGATAATTATTCAGGACTGTGTGAAGTTACGTTTAATGAGCAAATGACTAATTTAACAAAGTAGTTTTATTGCATGTTTGACTAGTAGCTCACTAAAAATTGTGTTTACTTCATGAGTTGTTCGTATTTAATAAACCAATGAAATAAAGCAAAGTATAACTGGTTTCTTATAGTGAATCCTAAATCATTTTTGGTGTACTGTAAAACCATTTTTTTCTTGTATCTAGACACCGCAAGTTAAGTTTTCTGATCCAACCATTATCCGTGGCTATAGAGATTTCATTAAGAAAAGGCTCAGTATAAAGGAGTTAGATAGTGGGTGGATCCAACCTCATGTGGGGATTATTCACAGGTAAAGATCAAGTTGATTATAATTGTTATACAACAGGAATCTTACTGGATATTACAAATGAACTTTCTGCTAAAACTTATTTGTTAAGTTACCTAAAAGCCTGTTTGTAACCTAAGAAAATTCAAATTGAGAAGTAATTACCAATAGATTATTGACCTTGTTTTATTTATTTTAGTTTCTAAGTATGAAATAAATTTGTCTTATAACCGAATTATTAAAATTTAAAATCCTTTAGGTGAATATTACCTTCAAGTCTGTAAGTTAGCCCTTAAAATATTGTATTAATGTTTAATTTATGTAATTTAATACATCAAAAATTGCTCATGTTTTGTAAGTTTCAAACATTTTGTCAGTTTTTGTTTGCAATTTTTAAGATGAGGTTTAATATGGATAAGAATTTTTTGCTAATTATTGCAATATACGTTTTAATTTAGGAAAGAATATAGAAAGATCAAATCTTTTTTAAGCATTAAAAAATATAAGTATAAGAAAATATAAAAACAATAAGTATATGAAACTTGAAAACATTATTTAGGATTTTAAGTGTGTTTTAAACCATGCAGTATATTAAACTATGGGATATCCAAACAATTTTAATATTCCATAGAATTGTTGCATTATTTTTCAGTATATAATAACCTAATTACAAACCTCACTTATGATTGCACTTATTGACTGATACAGGGAAGGAAGAAGAAAAATATTGAATGAAAAGGAACTAATGAGAAGTGTGGATAAATTTTCTGATGTTGAATTGATTGACTTTTCAAAAATGTCTTTTCAGGAGCAGGTAAACCAAAAATTATAACACAATTTTTAATACTGTGAATGGGCAAGCCTTCATTCATTGTAAGAGATAGAAGATGCTATAACATAAATTTTGTATTGGTGAAACTGAGAGCCTAACACAATATTGTGATTCGAGTAGAAATTATATGAACAAGATAAAATTTATTTCTAGTGTTGTTTTGAGTTACTTACTGATTATAAGTATTGTAATTTAATCTGTGTTTAGAGTAGATGTTATTACAGTATATATGATTCAAATACAACATATTCTTGCAATCAAGAAATATATACTTGAGTTGATGATAAAAAAAGTTTAGTTTTTTTCAGAAAAAAAAGGGTTTGAAGTAGAAATTACATTACATCACTTGTCATGTAAACAAATAAATTAATTAACTCCATTGTGTACCACTTTGTTGTTACTCCAGTTTTTAGCTTCTTGCAAATTTTTTTTTTTTGCTGCTTGATTCTAGTTATTTGCAAAAATTACGATTTTTTTCTTTTTTAAGGGTACTCATCCATCTAATTATACATGATGTTACCAATAACAATATAACGTTTTGACAAAACATATAATAGTCATTAAGAGCTAATAAGGATGAGTTATCAAAACTGAATAAGTATCTTAATTAGTAACTATGGCATTATAATTCAAGTTCAAATGTCTGTGATTGTGAAAGTTTTATTAATCCTTATAACAAGATTTCCATTGAATTCTTTTGAAAACAAAATAAGTCCCTGAAACAAATGATTGGTCTAGAATATCTTAAAACAATTGCACTAATGGCTTTTTTTTCTGACACTAAGGAAACAAAATTTGTAGTGTTTTGTTGTATAAATCTTGGATTTTTTTGTGTAGTTTTAAACATTTTTGAAAGATTTTTGTAAATATTTCTTATGGGACTAAATTTTTCTATAAGGAGGTTTTAGAACATTGTATCAAAAAGATTTTGAGTATCCAAATCATCAAGTTCCATCACAACTACAGCTACAATAAAATTGCAGTGGAATCTCATATATAAGAACTATTTTCAAAATTCTTTGACATTTCATACCTTGTGTAATGTCACCTGAAATTGATAAATTTTTTGGGAAGGGTTTGTAACAGCCCTTTTCTGATGCAAAATATTCACACACTGATCATAAAGATGTATTCATGTGAGGGATTTAGAATTTCCATGATGAGCATATCCATTCACATCATTTGAAAGAAAAGGAATATGGGTTAACTTGGGGCACTAGGACCATCCAGAAAATGACCTGCAACAAATCATATCCAAGCCATGGTAAGCAAAATACAGCATCTTGTAACAGTTGATAATCCATAAACACAAAGGTCAGTAGCAGAAGCCATCCACATACCACAGTATGGAACATAATCAAGAAGGATTGTTATCTAGAAAAGAAACACAAGTCATGAGTACAGTTGCCTGGTATTAACTAAATTTTACTGAATAACAGCTAATTTAAAGGTTAATTTATTTAATACTGTTACTAGTATGTGAACTAAAACTGTCAAGCGACAACTTCAAAAGATAGGAACACCATATTTTAACAAATTTCACATTTGCCTTGGTTTCTGTCATCACTTTGCTTAATTCAGTCATAACTGATATTTTTGTGAAACATAAAAATTTTAAATTTTTTCACTGGAAAAAAGAAACCAAAGGCATTTATATTATGACAGTTTCTTTTTAGTGATCAGATTGATGCAGGCTTGAAGAAACAAAATCTGGTGGCATCAGGAGAAATATATATCTGAATAGGGGTATGTTTGGCAACTTCCAAGCCCCAGGCAATTTTCCTCTGATTTACCAGTGGCTCCCTCACATACCTGGAATAAAATAAAAGAGAAAAAACAAAAAGTAAATGTAGATGTTCTCTATCCTTATTGGAGCTTGAGGCATCTGTTGAGAATGAACGTCCTGCCTCAGAAATTTCTAATGCTAGGCAAAGATTTGCACACAGGTGGTAAAAGTACCCACTGAGGCACCATCAGCCACCAGATGACATCTTCTGTCATTTTCAGAGGGTATCACTCTCTCATAGAGCACTTGTGCAGAGGGTAGAATTGTATGTGTGAAAAAAACAGAGAATTAAATAATATGCAAGAGTCCCAACTGGACAGAAACATACCAATGTAAAACCTCTTAAGAGAAGGAGAGATTGCAGATTACGGATATATGATAAAGACAACTCAGGGGTAAGGAAGAACCTGCAAACATTCCAGCTGTAATAAACTAAGTATATAATTCCCTAAGATAGGAGGGACAATGTGTTTTTTTAACTTCTGAACCCAGACGCTTATTTAATTTAACAGGGGTTGAGTGGAACAGAAAAAATATATATGCAAAACATATGTAAGCATACCTGCTGTGAATTATATATGGTTTGGAGAACAGTCACAGGTGACAAATGGATTCTTGAAGCTGAAGAGACATCAGTGTGATGGAAATAGAGTTGTAGAAATCTATGTGAATTCCTCCATCTGTAAGATGTCCTCCTGTCAGGGTAGGTAACACAGTTGATTGAAAATAGTGGTTACATTATCTCACAGCCAAATTCTTTCAGAATGTAAGTATAGAATCTTGCTTAGGAAAAACAAAAGAGTATGAAAAGTAGTCAAGGGCATATGGTATGTAGGGAATAGCTGACAATCTCTGACAAGTGAATCTGCACAAATGATTATAACACCTGGCATGTGACAGGTTCTGAGATAAGTATGATGTGAATGTACCCGAAGATGAAGAGAGAGATTCCAGCAAAACAAAGACTGAAAATTATTTTTTGTCCAGAATATTGATATACATCAACACTAGAAAACTACTTGAACTAAAGCACAATGGTGGTGTAGTAAAGGTAGGAACTTTTGATAAGCATGCAGAACTGCCCAAAGATCCAAAAGATTGATGTAAGATTCTTATTCCTTATGAACCTCAATGGTAATGTTCCGCTAAGATAGCACCCCAACCTGCAAGAGACATCTGTGAAGAGGTACAGATCTGTATGAGGTAGAAGAAAAGGGGAAACCTACAGTAGCAAACATAAGGAGCCAAAATTGAAGAATAATGTAGAGTAGTGGAATAGAGGGAAATTGATTGAGATAATGGATTTGAAAATATACATCACTAAGAAGCAGGATGCCATTGAAAGTGTTTCATATGAGCATGCTCATTGGATGACTTTTTGAAGTGAAGCCATCATTCCCAAAACAAAAAGGATGTTTTTGGTGGTAAGTGTCGAAGACAGAAGGGAATAAGCATGAGATTTCAAGACATGCAGCACAATATAAGCCATTTGAAGTATTCCATGAACAGTGTAGATCCAAGATCTTGGATGTTCCAAATACTGTGTGGTTTTAATTGAGATGTGGAAGAGACACCCAAGAGGTGAGCCAGCTGTGTGATCAACTGAGTGTGTATTAAAGACTGAATGGATGAAAAGTTCAGAATAAGCCAAACATCTATGTAAAAGTTGATGTCAAATGAACGTAGACCACCAGAAAATGTAAACTACTCAACAAAAAACAAACAGAGCTGAAGCCATGCCAAAAGGAAGGGCATTGTACTAAGAATTTACTCCCCATGCCAGAAAAAGAAGAAATTACTCATGAGTAGGGATATATAGATAAGCAACTTGTATATCACACAACCATGATTAAAAACCTATGTAAGAATCATGTATACCTACTTAAAATAAGGTGCCTCCAGAAGACAGGTGTCCAAACTCTAAATATCCTCAGAATCACTAAAGACAGTTGTAAAAATCTGGAGATGCGAGAAGATAAATGATTTAGCTTGCTCCTCTCTAAATAGACTTCTTTATCCAGAATTTGTGACTGGATTGGAAGGAAGAGGAAAAAATGTTAAGACCAAACTGAAGGACTTGTAAAACCCAAAGATCACAAAGCCAAGGAATTATAAGGTTGTTATATTAAGTTTTTAAAAATGGTCCAAGAAGATCCCCCCTCAACAGATGAGGGAAATTTGTCCAGAACAGAAGTTATTGAATGAGTCAAAAAGACCTATCTTGCCTAATATTCATTTCACCACTTGGTAGGATGGAAAAAAATTAGTAGAATTAGTTAACATTAACCAAAAGTAGATGAGGGAACCAAGGCAGGAGAACAAATATTACTTGCCGTTCATTTTGAAAGAACAAATACCAGAATTAAGTCAGTGCTGAAACCCTAATAAACTCCTGCTGAGTTGTTTCTCTTGAACAGTTGAAAAATCATGCAAATTTTCCTTAACGCAAACATTAATACAGAAAAGAAGGTCATCTGAGATCAGCTGAAAGAATAAAATGGGGGAGTGGAGTATCTTGTATTTTAGCATGGTGGGCTAAAACTTCAAGAGAACATACGAGCCATGTGATTATAGAAACCTCACAAGTGAGAACCAAGCCACAACTAGGGAAGACAACAAGCCAAAAATGTGATCCTGACTAAAGTAATTGGGAGAACAAGAGTAGCTAGTATTTAAAAATCATTCTGAAGAATGCAGTCTCAAATTGAGACAAATGATAAAATTATAAAAGGCCTAAAAGTAAAGAATATATGCTTAGTCAGGTATCTTCACATATTTTTTTAAATCTTTGTGCATGCAGTATGACACTCTTGTGAGCCAAATTGAGGAAGGTCGTAAACATCTACTAATAATTTTATTCAGGTAAATATGGCATATGCCAGTGGCTTTAACTTTATATCACTTTGGCACTGTGGCTGCCCTGACCACCCAGTGAATGGGGTGATTCCACCTTAAGGGTTGTATTAACAGTTACTAACAACTCAAAAGCTAGAATGAATTATCCAGCATGACATTAGAACCCTTAGACCTAAGATATATTAGTTCAAGATTTGAAAACAGAAAATGCCAAGAAAAAAAGGTGTATGAAATCAGACCAGTAGAAGCTTCTTCTGTACTGGGGCTAGCTGACAATTCCTTCTCTTCAACAATAAAGCTGAGTAGGTCTAAGCAAAAGATCTTTTTTTTTTCATATCTTCATGAGAAATGGGCAAATATTCTGCAAATTAGTGTCCATATGTAAAACCTGCCAAGGACACCAGCGAACATTCAGAAAAATTGGCTTGAATATGTTGATTAATATAGGCTTGCAATGTCACTACACATCTCCTTGTGCACTAGCAGCAGACAATACATGTAATGCCTCCAAAGAAAGTACAAAATTTCCAATATTGGTAGAAAAATATATGTAGCAGTAGTGAACAGATAGAATTCATATTGAGTTAAGTTAACAGCATGACTACCAACAAGGAAATCTGAATTAAGATGGGAAAGCAGCTACAGTAAGTTATGTGGAAGAATGGAGAATCTGGGTAAGTTGATGCATGATCTGCACTGTATGTAGAACATTCAGAGATTTGAGTCACATAGTTAACAGCATGAGAGCAACTCCATAAGGAAAAACATTCAGTATATCAGAGTCAAGACTTTAAAATTGAGAAGTTGCAGCTCCTCCATCAGATACTGCACAACAATAAAATTAGTTGGGTTCAAAGAAATTAATTTTAGGAGTAATTATTAGGTGAATTATTATTTTAGTTAATCTGAGATCAAAAATTGTAAAGTAGTAATTTTCTATCTCCAGAAGTTTGTTTGTGTGTTTTCCAAACATTGTAGTTATACTTTAACTATTAATTCACTATTGTGAACTTAGAAGATTAATAAAAAATGTATGTGTGTTTCACAAGAAGAAAAATAACATTGGCTTCAGCATTACATGCAGTATATGCATGATGGGAAATATTTTTATTATTTACAACAAGAGGTGATGCATCTTAAAGACATAAATAATCCCTTTTCTATGTGTTTGTGTCAACATGAAAAACATTTTATTACTATATTATGAACATCAATGACAGTTTAAATGGATCTACTTCAAGTATATATTTAATGAAAAAAGATAGTGTGTTATGTTTTTACAGTAACAGTAATCATAAGTACTCTTTGATATTTTATTGATAATTCTTAGATTGATGCATTGCTTGCTACTTGGGGTAGTTAAGTACATGCATGAAGTTTTTTGACAAAAAATTTAATCTCGAAGACTACAACTAAAATGGTAATAGAATGCTGCCTTTTGACCATAACTTGCAGCAGATTTCTGTTTAATCTCGAAGACTACAACTAAAATGGTAATAGAATGCTGCCTTTTGACCATAACTTGCAGCAGATTTCTGTTGGTGCACTTTTCAGTGAATTATTCTTTATTATAAAATGATGCTTAGGTTGTTGTAATATTTTAAGTCTCACAGGTAAAAAAAAAATCAAGATTAATATATCCTGGTTGCATTATTTATTCTTGTAATGTTCTTTGGAATTACAGGAAGAAAGAAAAAAGTTGGAGATTATAACACCCTGTTTGCTTCATTGACTATTTTAATACTCTTAGGTTTGATTTGTAAATTATTTCTAATATTCTTGGATTTTTCAGGTATAATATCTTCAGAATTATAGCATCTATTTGTTCTATTGAGCCAGTACTCTTTAACTTTTACAGGTGAATAAAGTTCAAGATTATGACATCCTCGTTGGAATTAATGGTGCAGGACTTACCAATGCTTTATATCTTCCTAACCATAGTGTAGCGATTCAGTTAATACCATACAAGGTGAATAGATCGTTTTATATTTTAGTGAGTTACAGATTTTTATCAGCTTCCAGTTCTAGAGACATAAATAGTTTATGCAAATCTATAAACAAATAACATTAGAAAATAAATAATTATATAATTCTAACATATCTGGAAGGCAGTACATTAAGTTCAAGTTGCAGAAGTACTTTGATATAAAAGTAATGAACAAAATTAGGAAAGGAGAATTTGTACATTTATTAACACAACTTGGTGACCTCTGCATGGTTTATGAGTCATAAGTGCTCTGTGCAAAACTGTGGTGGAAAAACATTAGAATTGAAAATAGAAATTAGGATTAGTAAGTGAAGGAGCTAGACCCAAATATAGTTGGGTAATAACAGCCAATCCTCTCTATACAAGGTACCATTTATAAAATGGATTACAACAGTTCTACATCAAGCAATACAAGTCAGTCACTTTGAACTTTGAAATGAAACAGTAATTAAGATGAGTTTCAAAATCAGTTTTTAGCCTTATCCTTTGCATCTTGTGAAAATACTTGCTTATAATAATTGTAATTCATAGACAACGTTACAACATTGCATTTTATTAAAACATTTCTACATCTTTTGTCAATATTCAAAGACTGTACCAACTACAAAAACCTAATTATCTGCCTAGAATTACAGAATTTTGAGACTAACCATCACTTGTAGCGCTATTACTATTATTATTCTTTGCTATTGCTATATTAGTGGCAAAGCTGTGCTGTAATGTAATGTACCATGGAAGTTTTAATAACAAAACCATGTCAGTATACTTTTTAGTTTTTTATTTGTGTATGTTGATTAGAAATAACTTAATAATTATGATAAATCAATAAATTACACGTACTCATTTGATGTCAAATGATCTTAACATACTTCCTAAACCAAAATTATAAAAAATTATACATCACTTATATAGTGCTTAAAGTAAACTGAAACACAGCCCTTACTTTACAATACCAACTTTTTTTTGAAAATAATGTAACTCTGAAGGCTGTAATTATAATGGCAATGCAACATTACATTTTGACTTTAGTAACCTTCACTACCAAAACATATAGTTGAACTGAAAGATATTTATAATACTTTCCAGCTATTACATAGTGTTTATATATAGACACAAACACACACAGGGTTGTTAAGAATTTGGAATGGGTACTTGAAAACAGTGTGTAACTATGGGTGAGTTATTTTGCATACATACATAAGGAATTATGGAGAATGTATTCCATTAGTTACTGGAAATATATCTTCCTGAGAATTATGTGAACTTCTGTTGCAGTGGCAACCTTCATTTGAGGAATGATATTTTGATTATGATGATAGATCTGCATTGTTAGAAAGCTTTACAACCAATAATCAACTGGGAGTGGCACCATCCATCATAAGTGTAGCATTCTTGACACATACCAAACTAAACCATGTGGTGATCTTTGGCAAATACAAGAGTTATTATGCTCTTTCCTGTAGATTGTCCATATGATACAATTATGATTGTGGACATCACCATGAAGAGTGAAGCATCATGTGGCACCACTACTAGCAACAGAATAATGGATGTCAACTCCACACAACCTATACTTATATACAAGCCAAATATGCATATAATCATGTGAAGTACTTTCTAGTGCCTTTCCAGACAACATTGTAAAGACATTCCAATGATCTCTTATGCATGTAAGCAAAATATTTCATGTATATTTCAACAATTATCCCACAAACTATCCATACTGACTTTATAATCATTCTGTACTTACTGAAAAAGTTAAACTAGTTTATCCCCCAATATTTTTCTGCACCATTAACCATATGCTATCATAAATCCACAAAATTCCTTTTAGGCTCAGGATGCCTGATTTTATTTTATAACTGATTAGCATTCTATGGGTATACACAGTTTCAGATGAGATGTTAACTTCTTCAGACCTGAATGAACATGAGCTACATCTAATTAAATGCATCATATAAGAACAATGCTCGAGATGCCATGCTGCTCTTGGAACTTCTTTGTCCATTGTTAACTGTGTTCACTTTTGAAACTATGATTATACACATTGCTTATGCCACAATGTTCATATTGTTACGTCTGTGGTCGTTAGTTAATTACTCGTAAAAATTCTTTCCGAAGAACTTCAGTGATACAAGTCCTTTCTCAAATAAAACTGGTTTATTCTTCCTCAATTCAACTTAGCAATACACTTAATATCCACAGTCCCTTTAACTTAAACACATGCTATAATTC